AGGGACAACGATAGGCAACAACGATTGACCCGTGAAGGTTACACCCCATTCATAATCCATGAGATTACTAACTCCATATGGTTCGGAACCACGAAAGGAGGATCGGGGATGATGGTACGAAGTGAGTCATAGAGTCACATTCGCCGTATTGGCCTCTACTCGTTTCTTATAGTGAAATGCATTCCTGCGATCTCAAAGGCATACAAACAGAATATTCAATTTGCTCCAAACTATTATTTAACTAAATTGGTTGAATATTAATGCAACATATAATTCTAAATATTTTGTGATCACTTGATTAAACAATAAGATTAAAAAGGATCCTAAACCGGTTGTCCAAATTATCTTATTAGGCGTGATTTTCAATTACATATTCCCTTTAAACATGCAATATGGTGATCAATAAAAATATAATAAAACAACATTAATATTGGAACCAATTTAATCACAATTTCCAACAACATAAAATCGTTAGAAAAATAATAAAAAAAACAAGGAGCATGACTCTTACTTTGATTCTGTTTGTTTGCAACTACAAAATAATAAACGAGTTAGTAACTTCAAGGAAATAATAAAACGATGATTAAATTAAATTAAATAAAGTAAAGTTGATTTTGGGGCCAAACCCTCAAACAATTCTACCTTTCACGCCTTGGCTTAAGGATTGAACCACGAGTAAAGTATGGACTCCTTTGAGTACTTGAAGAAGGAATTTTGAAGTAGAAAAGGGTAGGCTAGTGTTTAGGCTAAAGCATAGAAGAGAGAAAATAAAATAATCGAATTACTCGGTGCCCCGTTCATCAGAAATGAGGGGGTATTTATAGGGAAAATGTGCTGAGGGAGCACACGGAACCCTAAAATGATAAAAACCCTAAAAAAGTATCCCGTGACATGGTCAAACTGTACCGTGACACGGGAAGCTCCCACCGTTAGACGGTACACTTTCCCGTGACACGGTACATTTTTGGTGTGACGCGGGAAATTTTCAGAAAATGGGATAAAAAAACGCGTTAAGGGTTTACGCGGAAAAGACACGGAATGTCCCGTGTCACGGCAGACCTCCCGTGACACGGTAGGTACCTGCCGTGGCGCGGGAAATTCCAGCCTTTTTTTCCGTCTAAATACATTTTTAACCCTAATTTCTTTCGGCATTTTAAGTGCCGATTGATAATTTCAGGCCTTTTCTGACTTTTTATTATTCGGGCTAAAATAAGAAAATAATTAAATTAAAATAAATAAAGGGTTTGGGCCAAAAATAAATAATAAAACAATAAAATAAAAAAGGCTTGGGCTAAAAATTAATTAATAAGTTTGGGCTGAAATTAAAACTATGCTTTTACCAAACATCAAGACTAATCCATGGACTGTTCAAAAATATGAATTTAATAAAATACGATTAAATACTAAACCCGACCAATAGTGGCGGTGAAAGGTTGTTCATCATCGGGTTTGGTTTTGGGGAGACATTTTTAGGTGTCTACAAGAGTATTAATTTGACTAGTGGTTTAAGGATAAAATATTTGTGCTCACTACTTTATATACCAAAATACTTATTGATAGATATTATATTTACGATAATATTTGTCACAGATTAGGATAATATTGTATATATTTTTTATATACTTCGTATCCTTATCATAATAGGATTACGACCCTTGTAAACCCCTATATATATATATTATTCAATGGTACACACTCCAGGCTAAGGAGTTTTCCCAAAATCTAACATGGTATCACAGCTTAGGTTTTAGATCTCGAAATTTTTTTTCTCCAAAGTTTTTTGGTTTTTTGTTTTATTTGGGACGTTGCCTTCATCAAGCTTCCGCACATTTTTTTTCCAACCCCTGCCTTCTCTGTTTTAACAATGTCACCATGACCAAGGATAGTGAACAGCCACCGCCACCTCCCTCTAACGAATTTCACCCCACCCTTGGTGTTAACAACATCAAGAATGCCATCCCTCTCCTCCTTGATCAAGAAAAAGTGCAATACTCTAATTGGGTTGAACTTTTCGAATGTCATGCTCACGCTTTCAATGTTTTGGATCACATTGATCCCAAGACACCCAAGCCTACGGACATCTCCGATGCGTTGTGGAAGCGGCTTGACTCGGTGGTAAAGAACTGGATTTACGGCACGATCTCCTCGGATCTGCTTGAAACAATCCTCTGCAGGGGTGCCACAGCACAAGATATTTGGGATAAACTCAAAGCTTTGTTTCAAGATAACAAAAATACTCGTGCTGTATATCTTGAAAACCAATTCAACTCCTTGCATCTCTCCAATTTTCCAGACATCTCTTCCTACTGTCGGCAATTGAAGACCCTCAAGGATCAGCTTCGCCAATGTCGATCAACCCGTCTCCGAACTGAAACTGGTTATCCGACTTGTCTCGGGACTCGTCAACACCGACTTTGACACCGTCGCGCTATGATACAACAAACCGAACCCTCCCCACCTTTGAGACAACCAGGTCTCGTTTGTTGCTCGAGTAAACTCGCAGGACGAACGACTCCACGACCTAGGCACAATCCTTTATTGCTCAAGGTGAAGCACCACCTCAAACACCCCGCAACAGCAGCAGTCGTCCCAAGGGCGCGGCTCCGGTAATGGCGGCTAACCTTCTGGCCGTGGCACATCCAACGGCAAAGGTGGCAAAGGGGAAAGGGGCGTGGTAGGGGGAAAGGCCAATTCCCAGCCAAGTCCACGAGTATGCAACAACAAAACTCTCCATAAGGGCCTCCTCAAGGCCAAAGTCAGTGGCCTGGTCAGCCACAATGGGCCGGCCCATCTGGCAACAGCCAATATTTGCTCTTATTGGCTCAAGGGCCTACTTCACAAACTTGGGTAAGGCCACCTTACCCTTATCCGCAAGCCCAATCAAGAGGACAGCCTGCTCCTACTTCACCGGCCCAACAACAAGCCTATATGGCAGCCCACCAAGTTATGGACCGCTCATGACTCCAACTGAGCTCGGGAATTCTTTTTCCACCATGACGTTGGCTAATCCGGATGATGGATGGTACATGGACTCGGGCGCATCATCTCACATGACAAATAATTCCGGTAATCTCTTGCCCTTGTTTAATTTAAGCACTAATAATCATATTTTAGTTGGCAATGGTCATCGTATTCCAGTAATAGGTTATGGTCATTCTACCCTTCCCCAAAATAAGTTAGAACTTCGTGATGTTCTCTTTGCCCTCAAATTATTAAGAACTTAATTTCAGTCCGTAAATTTACCAATGATAATTCTGTGTCTATAGAATTTGACCCAAACGGTTTTTCTGTGAAGGATCTACGCACGGGGAAAATAATCACGAGATGTAATAGCTTTGGGGACCTTTATCCATTCACCAACCACTCTTCATCAACATCATGCCTTGCCACCTCTCTTTCCACCGTGTCTCTCACACTTGGCACGACCGCTTAGGACACCCTGGAGCACAGTCTTTAAGCTTTCTTAGGAATAATAATTTTATTGATTGTAATGAGGAGCTTGACTCCAATTTTTGCAATTCTTGTCAAATTGGGAAACATACTAGACTTCCGTTTTATTCTTCTAATAGTAATACTTTGTGTGCTTTTGACATTATTCATGCTGACCTTTGGACTTCTCCAATTCGTAGTATTAATGGTCACAAATACTATCTAGTACTACTTGATGATTTCACCCATTATGTATGGACCATTCCTCTTGTTTATAAATCTCAAGCTTTTCAAACTCTCTTGAATTTTAGACAATATGTTCATACTCAATTTGAAAGGTCAATTAAATCTTTCCAAAGTGACCATGGTCGTGAATTCGATAATGACCCTTTCAAAAAGCTTTGCTTAGATAATGGCATGGTGTTTCGATTCTCATGTCCTCACACCTCTTCCCAAAATGGTAAAGCCGAGAGAATGATCCGCACCTTAAATAATATTAAGCGCACTTTGCTTTTTCATGCCTCCTTACCCCATCCTATTGGATTTATGCTCTTGAGACCGCCACTTATCTTCTTAATATTTTACCGACTAAGGTCCTCAAAAATATTACTCCGGCTCAAGCATTATTTGGAGTCATACCATCTTATTCCCACATCCGTGTCTTTGGTTGCTTATGTTTCCCAAATCTTTCCTCCACCGCTCCTCATAAGCTTGCTCCTCGGTCCACTCCTTGTATTTTTTTGGGTTATCCCCCTAATAACCGTGGTTTTAGATGCCTCGATATCTCCACAAATAAAATCATTATATCTAGACATGTCACCTTTGATGAGTCCACTTTTCCATACCAAAATTTGGAAAAATTCAGTCTAAAGGATTATAATTTTTTAGGAGAAACCGAGTCCTCACCACTGCTCACACATGCCTTCCTACGGCAAGCCCAAGCTCGCTGCCACATCCCACCCACTATAGGCCCAACTGCAGCAAGCCCACAGCCCACCCCACCTCCAAGCCCACCTACATCACAAACTAATTCCCCAAGGCAGAGTACTCCACAGGTCCATTGCGGGTCACCTGCTGCCGCAACCAGTCCACGGTCACCTCTGCCGCACCCGGTCAGCACCCCGCCTGCCACCTACAGTCCCCCTCCCCTCCGTGGCATCCCTCCGATCCAGCCAACCAGACCACCGCCACCCTCCCCTCACGTCACACGCAGTCAAAGGGGCATTTATAAGCCAAATCCGAAATATTGCAATCTTACCGTTCCTAATTCGGGTCCTACTCCTCAAAAATCTCCCCTTTCAAAATCTTATAAACAAGCTTTAAATGACCATAACTGGAATGCGGCGATGAACGATGAGTATAGTGCTTTAATTAAAATAGGGACATGGGAGTTGGTTCCTAAGCCTACGGGGGTGAATGTTGTTAATTGTATGTGGTTATTTAAACATAAATACAAGTCTAATGGTGACCTTAAAAGGCACAAAGCTCGTCTTGTATGTGATGGCAGGTCGCAGGAAATTGGTGTGGACTGTGATGAGACCTTCAGTCCGGTAGTAAAACTGGCTACTATTCGCACTATTCTCAGTTTAGCCTTGGCTAAAAAGTGGTCGATACATCAACTAGATGTCAAAAATGCCTTTTTACATGGTGATTTGCAGGAAACAGTTTATATGCATCAACCTCCGGGTTTTGTCGGTCGGAGAGCCCCTCTCATGTTTGCAGATTGAAAAAGGCTTTATATGGTTTGAAACAAGCTCCCAGAGCTTGGTACCAACGGTTTGAAAATTTTCTGATTAAATTGGGATTTGTCATTGCCATGAGCGATACTTCTCTTTTTACTTTCCGGCAGGGTGATGATATGGCATATTTGCTTCTATATGTTGATGACATTATTTTAGCTACCTCATCTGGCAGGTTGCGTGTAGGAATTATTTCTCAGTTACAAAATGAGTTTCCTATGACTGATTTGGGCCCTCTGAGTTATTTCTTAGGGATTGCGGTAACCCGTAAACCCTCTTATTTGCTACTTTCGCAGGAAAAGTATGCACAGGAGATCTTAGAGCGTGCAGGTATGAGCTCATGTAAACCCGCATCAACTCCAATAGACACAAAGTCCAAGCTTAGTGCAGATGCAGGACCACCTTTTCGGGATCCTACTTTGTATCGCAGTCTAGCAGGTGCTCTTCAGTATCTCACTTTCACCAGGCCACATATTTCTTATGTGGTACAGCAGGTGTGTCTATTTATGCATGATCCCCGGGAACCTCATTATGAGGCACTGAAACGCATTTTGCGTTATGTTCAGGGTACCATTGATCACGGTTTACATTTATATCCTACTGCTTCTCATCGCTTGATCACTTACACTGACGCTGACTGGGGAGGTTGTCCGATACCCGGCGTTCCACTTCGGGCTACTGTTGTTTTCTTGGGGACAACCTCGTTTCTTGGTCATCTAAGCGTCAGCATACATTATCTAAGTCGAGTGCAGAAGCAGAATATCGAGGTGTCACAAACGTTGTTTCTGAGGCATGTTGGCTTCGGAATCTATTACTTGAGTTACATTGTCCTCTACGGCAGGCTACTATTGTTTATTGTAATAATGTCAGCGCTATCTACCTTTCCGACAACCCGGTAAAACACCAACGCACCAAACATGTGGAGATGGATATTCATTTTGTTCGAGAAAAGGTTGCGTTGGGGCAAGTTCGAGTACTACATGTTCCTACTCGGTATCAGTTTGCGGATATTTTCACCAAAGGCCTACCTCGAGAATTATTTCTGGAATTCAGGTCCAGTCTTAGCGTACGACCTCCTTCCGCTACGACTGCGGGGGTGTGATAGATATTATATTTACAATAATATTTGTCACAGATTATGATAATATTGTATATATTTTTGATATACTTCGTATCCTTATCATAATAGGATTATGACCCTTGTAAACACCTATATATATTATTCAATGGTACACACTCCAGGCTAAGGAGTTTTCCCGAAATCTAACACTTATCAATTAATTTTAAATCCTTCTCAAATTATTAGATCCACCAAAGTTATAATTACTCATTCTCGTAAACTCAATTTTATAATTCTATGTCATATAATTTTATTAACTCGATTGTAAACTCTACAATAAATTATATAATTCAATTTTTTTAATGGCCCTTTAAGATTAGCTATTAATACTAAATCAACCAATTCAATCAAATTCACTTGTATATATATACATTTTATTGTAACTAATTTATTCTCAACTTATCAATAATTAGAGAATAATAATCTTCTTCAAAATAAAAACAAAATTATTTTCATCCAATATTTTTTATTTATAACATTTTTTGTAAGTAGAAATATGAAAGTAAAAAAAAAAATTAAAAAAAATTATATCTTTATAGTACTCTAAACTTGCCTAATATACCTAGAAACTGTTGCAAACTCCATTAACAATATAAAATGTCGACATATTTCCGTTCAAAATAAAAAATGTATGTATATTTACTGATTATAAAAAGGAAAAATTGTTAGGAACTACATGCTTGATAGGGGTAATTGTGAACAACTACTCGCTAATTTTTTTTATCAAAAAACTACCTTTTAAATTTAAAAACTTAGAGTAGCACTACCCATTTCAACTTTGCGGCAACAAGCTTCGGCGTATGGGCCCCACTTGTTTGTAACACTGTACTAAATGTATCACTAAATTTCTACTGATAGAAGTTGATTAGAATAAAATGATTTTTACTTTAATGTTTTAGACATAATGTGTTTATGGTGATGATGAATAAAAAAAATCACTTATACTACCTCTGGTCCAAATTACTCGTAACTTTGGTTTTTTTTATATCTCACAAATAATACCTCAAAGTTGCGAATAATTTGGACCGGATGTAGTATATGTTTGAAAATTGTTTTTATTTAGGAATTTCTCTTTTCACGGTATACGAAGAAGGGAAAAGGAAATAATATAATATGAAGCCTGTCATAACTTGTAATTTAGGCCCTGTTCTTTTGAGCTTCTGGACAGAGCAGAGCAGGGGTCAGCAGAGCAGAGCAGAGCAGATTAAATTTCAGCAGAGCAGACCGAGCCGAGCCGATTCGAGCCAAGCCGAGCAGATTTCAACATTATTATTAATATTGTTGTTGTTGTTGTTGCTGCTGCTGTTGTTGTTGTTGTTATTATCATTATTACTATTACTATTACTATTACTAAGTGCATATACCATTGATTTAGGTGAGTGAAAAAATAAATATATGTAAACAATATTTAACATATGTTAATAGTAGAAAGATAAAAGACAACGGTTTACTTATATTTATTTCACAAAAATTTTAAAATAAAATGATTTAATGAGTAATAATGATTTTACTTATAAATTTGTCTTAATCATATATTTTTAACCCTAAAAATAATAATGATATACAAAGTACTACTTGGAAACAACCTCTTTTTTTTAATTCTTAAATTGTATGGGAAGATTTGAAAAATTATTCAACTCAATAAACTTACAATCAATAACCACATACGTATAATATTTCTACACATTGTGATTATAATACCAAATGTTTATAAAAGAAATTGTTATTAATTGTTATTATTATTATTTATTTATTTGAAAGAATTGTTATAATTGTTAGAAATTATTAATTAATAATATTATTAAATATTAATTCTTAATAGTTTGAATTATTTAATATTAATAACGATAACTATTATTATTAATTATTATTATGATTAATAAATATGAATTATTATAATATTAATAATTATTAAAATTATTTTTAATATTAATAATTATTATAATTATTCAAAATAATAAATTATTATCATCAATACAATATTAATTATTATTATTGTTATTATTAATTATTATTTAAAAATAGAGCAGAGTAGAACAAATTCCTTTTGAGCAGAGCATATTTGATTTGACCAGAGCAGAGCAGAGCAAGACAGGGCTCAGCAGAGCAGAGCAGCTCTAAAGAACGGAGCCTTAGTTTTATATCCTAGCTTTAATGCATGTCCATATAAGATACTCCCTCCATTTTATATTAATCGCAACACTAGAAATTGTATAAAATAGGGTAATGTATTAATATAAAGTATAGTTAAATAGAATAAATTTAACTGTTAAGAGAAATAATAAGACGTAGTGTAAGTACTAAGTAGGGTAGCTAAGAGAGGGAGAATAAAATGTTTGTGCAAATGGAATTAGTAGGAGAATGAAATTACAAAATAGTAGTGGACCCTTACCAAATTATAAATTGTTGCATTAATACAAAACAAATGGAGAAGAAAAGTGTTATAATTATTATAAAACTGTTTAGCTTCCGTGTCATGCACGGTGATTTAAAAAGCAATAGCAACTTTTCAATATAAATTGTTATATTACAAAATTAATAAAAAAAAACTAAAAAAAAATAATAAATATATACACTACTTTGATGTGAATTCTAATTAATAAATATACACACTATTTTTATTAGGGAAAAAATATGAATACTTTCTTAAATTTAATTATGTTCATATTTTCTATTAAAGTCATAAATGTTTGGGAGGGTGGTTTAAGGCCTTTAGTGAGGTCTGCTGTGTAGTCAACCGATATGTGGCTACTTGTAAGTGTCATGAGCAGGAAGTTATAATTATGTCCTCCATTAAAGAGGTTAAAAGACCTACAGAGTCCCTAGATTAACGTCTTATAACAATCAAAGAGATTAACATGAATTTGTCGGATGAAAGGTTTTCGACAAATAAGCAACCATTCCTTACCTTTCTCACGAATTTATAAATATGCCTTGATGATGTAATATCATCACTGTAGTAACCTTCTGGATTTGTTGCATAAGAGAATCCCGTGCCAACAGGTGAATCCAGAAATATTATGTTAGCTATCTGAACATCAACACGATAAATTAGTCTTAGAATAGTCACAATTCATTTATCTTCCAGTTTTAATCCTAATAATCTCATGCTACAGTCTTGCTTTTACAAATGGAGCGACAAATATCTGAGTAATTAATTTATGACTTATGAAAGCTATTTTTAATTAAATTAAAAAAAATTAACAAAATATTATTAGAATATAGATTCTTGTACCTTTGTCCAAGAAGATGGATTTAACTGATATGTTGGTACTTCAGAGTGCCAATGGCAGGCTGAAATATTAAAAATCAGAGGACCTGCAGAGAGACTTCAGTTTCATTACTTAATTAAGGGCACAAGTTTGTTAAAAAGTACTTCCTCTATTTTTTTTAGTTGACACTTTTCTATTATCACGCTTGTCAATTCATGTTTTTAATGATTAATATCTATAATTATCAACATTGTAAAATTATAAAAAGTGGTCAAGTAGATATTAATAAAATATGCATTGAAACGATTCAAACAAGATCTCACATGAATATGTTTTATCGTATATATAAACTAAACAAGCAAGTCAAAGTGTGTTGTGTGAATAGTGTAAAACTGAAACGGTGTTAACTAAAAAGAAACCGGAGGAAGTAAGATACATCAAAAAGATAAAATAACATGTGTAGTATAATCAAATTAAATATTTATAATAATTATATCTTCCATACTTTGATAGCTATATTTGATAGCAACTATAAACTTTAAGAAACAGATCACATCAATATAACCATATACTTGTGCATGCAACCTAAGAGCTAGGGATGGCAGTGGGTCGGGTTAAATGGGAGACCCGCCCCATCCCCGCCCAAGTGGGGCGGGGATGGAGGAGGTTTGGCGGGTGATGGGGCGGGGATGGGTATAAAATGTGTACCCGCCATGAGTGATGGGGCGGGTATGGATTTTAGAGTAGACCCGCCCCATATCCGCTCCGTACCCATCTTATATCGGCACCATATTTCTTTTAGAAAAATTTAGAATTTATAAAACTTGAAACCCTCTAAGACCCAATAAGCTTGAATAATGAAAGTCCCAATTTTCTTAACCTAATTTGATATAATTGTCAATAATGTGATACAATAGAGCATTATGGCAATGGGTTTGCGATGATTTTGGGGCGGGTATGAGGTGGGTGATGGGGCGAAGATGGATCCTATCTTGTACCTGGTGGGGCGGGTATGGATGTGGATATTATACCCGCCACGGGTGGTGGGCGGGGATGAGTATAAGATTTTTAGGCGGATATGGATATGGAGGTACCATCATCCGCATCCGACCCGCCCCATTGCCATCCCTACTAATAACCTTATCTTCATAGTATAGTGATTAGTGACCTTATCTTCTACCATATTTTTAAAATTAATTGATCTCCCAAACTCTCACAATATTGTGCACTACTTGAAATGAGCTACAAATCTACGATAGCAAGGGAGGAGATTTTCCTTCAAACTGAAGTTGATATTAAGGGGGTGTTTGGTTCAAGTAATTCAAGTATAAGGTATAAATTTAAAATGACTACATGTATTTATTTAACAAAATATCAACTTCAAAACTTATACCTCAAACCCACAAGGTATGAGATTTTAGTAACTAAAGGGGGAGATAGATGTAGCTTATATTATATCTTTAGGTATCAAATAGAAGGAAAATGTTCATTTTCATTCGATCAAAACAAACACAGGGCATTAAGTAACAAGCTCAATCCAACCCCATACCGCTTCAATCTAGTTATTGATTCCAAACCCACCACTCTACGAACCAAACACCAAAGGGTATTTTCATGATTTTTCAATCTTATGAAATATTAATTGATTAATTCATCTCTAAGGTGTAGCAACCACTTGGGTGCTTAATTCGTATATGATGAAGATGCAAAAAGGCGGGTGCTTAATTGCTATATGATGAAGATGCAAAAAGGCTTGCTAGCATATAGATAGTTTCTATCAATATTGTTCTCTTAAAGAACTCTTATAAATGCAACATATATGTCATTTTGTTAGATAAAAAATAATACTTCCTTCATTTCTTTATACTTACAACACTTCAAATTATGCATTATTTATAAATTCTAGTTTAACCATTGTTAATTATTAGTTGTCAATACAAAGTGTAATTAGGTAAGATCTTATTTGATTCATCTCAATATTATTTATTGTCAATACAAAGTGTAATTAGGTAAGATCTTGTTTTGATTCATCTCAAAATATACTTTCACAATATCTTTTTCTTTTTACTATAATATCATCATTTTTTTTCCTTATTGGTAATTAGAGATATTAATGATTGAAATAATGTATTATCAAGCATAAAATGAAAATTGTTGCAAGTAGATGTAAACATAGGAAGTAATTATTATTTTTTTTATTGTAATGTGGGGAAATGTATGGTACGTCGGATTGTAGGAGAGGAAAGAGATAGAGAGGGAAAAAAAAAGAATATGGGATGAGGAGAGATAAAATCATAGTCTAATAATAATATAATGTTGTAATTAATTTGCAATTTTCAAAAATGAATATGTTATAATTAATCTAAACTAATTAATCTAAACTATCAATTGTCAAGATAGTTGAACCGCTTACAAACCTACAAGAGAATCTAAGGTTAATTTTTGCACTTCATTTGACTATAAAATGAAAAACAATTATCAAAATTAGAACAAATAATCATGGGTATACGATACACTCGAGTGTATATAACAACCTCTCCAGAAAATATTGAATAATCCGATTCATTTTATACATCACATCTCCTTTATCAAACACTAAAAGAAGATTTCAATCTCATATTTAGGCCTTGTTCACTTTACCTTAAAAAAATAATACACAATAAAAATAATTTCACTTCAACAAAATAGTTTCAGTTTAGTAGATTAATTTCACTTCACTAAAAATAATTTCACTTCAGTAAAATTAGTAACTTTATTGAATAAATATAACAATGCATCGGTAAAAATAATTTCATTTCATCAAAATTAATTTCAGTTTAGCAAAAATAAGGTGAAGTGAATAGGGCATTACAAACAAACAATTATTATAACTATCTAACCTTAGATCCATTTGCATATAATAATCCAACCTTTAAACTTCTTTTGTAATAATCAACCTTTTGGATATATCCGTTTTTAATTGGTCCCTATAGGTAAATCTATTTAATAGATATACTAAAGTAATCCCCACAAATATCCCAAAAAACATGTCACGCGTGTCATTTTCTAAGAAAAAAATTTCCTGGCAAAATTTTATTTATTATTATTATTATATAAAACTTGAAGTTATTTAGTACTTAAATTTAAGGTAAAAGATAAGATTAAAATTTTTTATCTTATCATTCACAATCCTATATTCTTGGCAATTCGGATAAAATTTAAGAGTTGATCTATAAATCATCATAAATCTTTTAGAAATAAAAAAGTAAACCATCAAGTAAAATTAACTTTTTCATATTATGCATAAGTATAATTCAATGAGAGTGAGGGATAGCTTCCCCAATTAGTGGTTCGTGGAGGCGGATGTACCATGCGCATGGTACATTCGTTCCAAAAAAAAAAAAAAAAAAAAAAAACGAAAAGAACATTGCATAGAGATGTAAAGAACATTCAGCTAAAATGAAAAGAACATTTGATCAAAGTAAAAAGAACATGTTATAAAATTGTAAAGATTAAAGAACAATTATCTAAAGTGAAAAGAACATATAGTTAAAATGTAATGACGTGATAAATTCTAAGCGTCTATTTTAAAAGAATATGAAGAATATAATAAAATTAAAGAACATAAGAGATACAAAAAAAGCACACAGATTAATAACAATGATCATAACACCATCTTATAAAGAACATCATCTTCAATCGTTGTCACATTATTCTCAAATTCGACATCTAGATTCATCAAATTTCAAAAAGGGAAATAAACAATGAATTTTATGATTACAAGATATTCTAATTCAAATCTAAAATAACACAATTAATGAAAAATAAATATAAAATTTCATTCAAAATTATCTTTGATCTTTTATTAACAAATCCACACACTCACCTTCATTAACAATCACTTCATTAACATAAAAATAATCAAAAGCACCACGAAAATAAATCTAAATGCCCAAACATCGTCTTCTATTAGTAGAATTTGTTTTCCTCAATAAATTTTATATTTTTCTCTTTAAGATTTTTATTACTCTTCTCTAAAGAATTGAAACAAGTGAAATTAAAATATGAAGAATATACAAAATTTTTAATTGAGATTGGGAAATAATTACAAAAACATTTCAGTTATAGAACAAATAATTCATTTAAAGATTGAAAAGTTAGATGTTCTTTTAAAATATACTATTATATTCTTTCCGGGGTTTTTTTTTTTTGAATAAAAATAATACGGAGTATTCATTACATTAAATTATCATGTTCTTTGTTAATATTACGGATGTTCTTTAAATTTATATAAAGAACATAAAGCTGGATGTTTTTACAAAATAGATATATATTCTTTACAAAACAACAACTACCTCCGTTAAATGTTATGTGCAACTTTGGAATATTTTATATCTAACAAATAATACCCTAAAATTGCACATAACATCTAACAGAGGTAGTGTATGTGATGTTCTCTATAAAATAGTTATATGTTTTTTACTTAACAACTACTCCCTCCGTTTTTAAATACTTGCTCCACTTTTCTTTTTCGACCGTTTTTAAATACTTGCTCCATTTCCTTATTTAGAAAGTTTTTACAATATTGGAAAAATTAGAAAAAATAATCCCAACTTTCATCAATTTTGATACAATAATCCCAACTTGGATTATTTTGGAACAATCCGAACTTTAGGGGTCTTCTTTTTCTTCAATCTCAAACCGGTCAACAACCTTTAATAAGAGGTCACCATGACATGTGTCAGCTTGTCATTGGTCCAAAAATAAATTAAATAAAAAAATTAAAAATCAGAAACAAAAAAAAAATAATAATAAAAAACTTCCCTCCCTCAAAACCACCATCCCCCAACCCAAACCACCCCCCTCCACCAACCCTCCCCCACCCCTTCCACCAGACCCCACCCGAAAACACCCCCCACGCAGCTGAAATACCGCCCACCCCCCGACCACCACTCCCCACCTGCCGAAACCGACCGAAACCACCATCCCCGTCGCAACACCCAAAACCCTCACCGCCGTACTCCAAAATTGAAACCCTAATAATGGTTTTAAGGTTTTGATTATGGGTCAAAATTGAGGGAGAAAGGGGGCGAAAATGATTGGGGGAGTGAGAACGTCGGCATAGAGGAGGAGGCTTGGGTTCCAGTGAGTGGTGATGGTGGGTTTTTTCGAGGAATAAATTGAGGTGGTTTCGGGTTAAACGACATTTTTACGGGATGGGGGAAGGGAGGGGGGAGGGTTTCGTGGGTGGGGGAAGGGAGGGGGAGGTGTTTCGGCAGGTGGGGAATGGTGATCGGGGGGTGAGGGCGGTTTTCGGCTACGTGGGGGGTGTTTCCGGGTAGGGACTAGTGGAAGAGGTGGGGGAGGGCTGATGGAGGGGGTGGTTTGGGTAGGGGGCCGGTGGTTTGGGGGGAATTATGTTTTTTTTTTAATTTTCAAAGTTTTTTTTTTATTTTTTTATTTTGGACTAATCATGTACTGACACGTGGCTTTTAAACAACATAAAAAAAATAAAAAGCTTCTCAACAGGTAACCCCCCAAAGTTCGAATTATTCCAGAATAATTCAAAGTTGGGATTATTGTACCAAAATTGATGAAAGTAGGGATTATTTTTTTCTAATTTTTCCTATAATATTTAACTAATTTCTCTCATTTAGTGGACCCACCACATATTTTCTCTCCTCCAATCCTCTCCACTACTTTTGCTTTTTACAATTTTTTATTCTTCCACTTACCCCACTACCTCCATATATTATTATTTTCTCAAATTTCTCCTAAAAATCCGCACATGGAGAAATGGAGCAAATATTTAAAAACGGAGGGAGTACATGTTTATTCTACCTTTTTATAAAGAAAACCAGATGCATGGTGCATTTGCCTCCGGGGAAAAAATTATAGAACTTCCCTCTTACAGGAGATCTTGGATCGATTCTCACCCCCACCCTTGTGGCTCTCTAAAAACTAAAAAAAAAATGTGTTAAATGAAAAACCCGAGCATATGGGCATTAACTAGTTAACTACTATACCTGCCCACCGGCTTCACCCACCCAAAAACCTAGCGGCACCCTGAAAATCATCATGATCCACCGAAAAACCCAGCCACTCTTTCATTTTGGAACCATTGCACCACTACTAAAATAGAAAAAGAAAATAAATGGTGCTGAGGGTAACGGAAATGGTTTATGTGATGTGGGAGCGAGGTGACTAGGTGAGAGTGGTGATTATAAGCTATATATGGACTATATTACTTGCATTTGGATACCCATATCTAGAGGTGACAATTCAGATAACTGGATAGAGTTTAGGTCGGGTTTGTTCGGATCGAATATGTTCAAGCCAAAATTATATTTTTTTTAATTCGGACTGAGTCGGGTCGGGTGAAATTTGGGTCGGGTCAGATTCGAATCAAGGTCTATCGAGTCTGGGTCGGATATGGGTCATGTCAACTCTAGATTGGTTCATATTCGGTTATGTAAATTCGGATCGGGTTCAAAACGGGTTTAACCGTTGGGTCAGATGATTTTGGGTCGGGTTAATTTCGGTTCGGATGATTTTGGTTTTTTTTTTTTGATGCAAAGGAGGACAAGTCCAACAAAAAAACAAAAATAAAACAAAACAACTACACCACCATCCGTGGCAAAACCACCCCAACCAAGTCCTCCCAAAGAAGATTGTTTATTTCGATTGGAGGATCATCGAAATAAACAACCTTCTCATGGAGACCAACCCCAACATTAGCAAGCTTATCTGCTACCCTATTACGGTTAATTTCGGTTCGGATGATTTTGGTTCATTCACGTTAGGTTTGGTTAAGATAAGGTTGATCCGTTGATTCATTAATTGGTCAATTTTAATTCAATTCCTTTATGTGTTTGGCTGGATTTTAGTTGAGTTGACCCAATTCATAACCAAAAATAAGGTTATTTTTATACTAAAGTTATTATTGAGTTTTTACCTTATTATTGGGTAAATATCAAGTCATTCATGTATCATATTTTTTTATCGAGTTGAAAGAAGAGGCTTTAATGTACAAGTATTACAAATTATTTGTAGCAAATTTTAGATGAGACGAATATAAAGCTTAGAAAGTAATTGAATATAATTGGTATAATGGTATATACATGAAGTAAACTTGTTACTCCAGATTATTTCTTTGTAGTAAAAAAATTAACTTATTAATAATTAGTAAATATAATACTCGTAGTATAAGAAATTGAATAAAAAGGTCAATAATTAATTATAATCGGGTTAAATTTGGATCGGGTAAAAGTCAAATTGAGTTAAAATCGGGTTCGGTTAAAACAAATCGGATTAGATCAGTTATTTGTTGTGTCAATTTCGAATCGGGTTGAGCTCAGGTTGGATCAAATAGGTTCGGTTTCAGTTCAGGTCGGGTCAAATCGGAGGAGTTCAATTCAGATATAGATCAGATTTGGGTCATGAATTCCTCGGATCAAATCAGATCAGTTACAGTTCAAAACATATAGTTTTTTTCGGGTCGGTTCGATTTTGACACCTCTACCCATATCCGACACGAGCACGTGTTCAAGTGTCCACTCAATTATTTTGTTATAATTTTCCTTGATTTTAAATTAAATGAAGTGTCATAGTATCGTACTCAAGTCTGAGTTGAGTCTAACACGAGTAGTTGAAGTGAAATGAAGAGTCCGAATAGAATGGAATGTGGAGGGAAGCTAGAGGAGGAAAAAATAAAGGTGGTTGGTTTTGGTGGTGTATACGTTGGTCAAATTGAAAAAAGAAAAAAAAATGTAATTAATTAATTTAGATAAGTTTTAAATATTTAAGGCACATAGGGCTTAAGGCCCCGATTTTTATTTATTTACCATTCTAAATATTTAAGGCACATAGGCTCTCTTTGTTTGATAGGAAGTAATTTTTTTTTTTGCTTGTTATTTTTTTAAGAACAATTAGACCCTGTTCACCTTATTTTCATTTATTTTAGAAAAATAAGTTTAGATTAGGATTAATAACTTAAGATAAGAAAATTCAATATAAGTTCAGATAAGGTAAGGGTTAATTAGGGTTACCAAGTTTAATTTATAACTACTACCTCCGTTTCTCATTAGTTGCAACTTTGAGATATTATTTGTGAGATATAAAATATTTTAAAGTTGCAACTAATACGAAACGGAGGTAGTAAAATAAGTTCTAATAAGGGTTAATAAATTTAGATAAATTAAATAAGATTAAATAAGTTCAGATAATTAAAAATCATATGAATAAAATGCACTCTAATACAATTTTATTTATTTTTTTTTTATTTTTTTATTTTTTTTTTACTATATGTATGTTAGTACGGAGGAATGAAGTTATCAACATACCAATCTCAAGAACAAGTCCAGAAAGAGCAGAACATCCAGGGCCTTCAGTAAGCCAGACCATAAGTGGGTCTCTTTCATAATTTCTCTCCGATTTTATGAAATAATAAAATAATTGCACCTCTTCATTATCTCCCACTCCAATGTATCTGCAATTTTTCAATTTTCAGTTTATACCCACAATTTAGTTAACCGCAAAATTACATACGGTAAAAGTAATTTTTTTTACTTTTTTAAAGAAAAAAAAAAAAACAAAACAAAAGAAAATACCCAGTTTCAAGATAAAATGGGAGAATGCCGGGAAATCCAGGTACAGATTTGACAATGTTGGGTGAAGCTGCATGCAAAATTGGGGTTAAAATATGAAGAAGATAGAAAATGGTAAATAGTTTTTGTGAGAATGTGTTTCCCATTTTGAGAGGTTTATTAAATTTAAATATGGACGAATAAGTCACTGTTTTGTGGAGGAAGTTTTGTTGGGAGAAGTTGGAAGAACATGAACAACAGAACAAAACAAAAAAGAAACACGAGGGGTTATCATATGAACAAGGTGTCGGTGGTAAGGATAAGTTTACCATCATTGTACAACCGTACTGCGTGGAAAAGTCTTTGCAAGTTGGAATAGACCTGCAATGGGTTGTTCCAGTCGAGTTAGTTTTAGGTCCGGTCATTTCGGGTCAGTTAATATTTGGGTTGGGTTATTAGGGCGAATTCGAGTCGGGTCATTTCAAGTCAAGTATATTCGAGTCATATTGGGGTCAGGTCAAAACTAGGTCAAGTCATGTTCAGTTTGTTCCATTTGTGGATCAAGCTCAAATCAATAATTTTATATTTTGTTATTATTATACCAAGAATTATCACTTCAATTTATGAGGTTAGCTACGGTTAAAGATAAACAATTTGAGTAATATTTGGCAACATACATTTTTGGTTCAATCATAAAGTAATTTTAGTTCGGGATATTTCAGATATCGGGTCAATTTCAGGTTGGGTCAACTTCGGGTCAATTTTGAGTCGGGTCAGTTCCTTTTTAGGGTCGGGTATGAGTCTAGTTGGGTCAACGTCGGGTTTCGAGTCAATTTTTTGGGTCAATGTTTTTGGGTCAATTTCGAGTCATTCGAGTTGGATCATCGGATCTGGGTCAGAATTACCGAATCTAAACTGGATTAGTGGACAAAAATTCTTGGGGGAAGGATGAGGAAGTCCCTACGTGATTTAGTTTCCACAAATTAATTTTCTCAAAATTACAAGGTGGGTCTCCACATACCCTACCAAACTTACTTGGTTATCAAAAGCAAAGTATCATAATCCTATCCGTTTTATCATTGAGATTAAAGGTTTAGACGAGCATTGTTTCATAGTACTCTAATACTCTTTTATGTAAATCAAAAGCGTCAAGTTTGGAAATTTATTGCTTTACTAGTTTAAATCCCGTGTAATGCACGGTTATTATTAAATTTTATAAAGAGTTATTGCATTGAATTTTATAAAAAACTTAAACTTATAATACTAATTTAAAAATAAATATAACTTTAATTTTATATGTAACTCTATTAATGTCAAGATTAGTGACACTTAGACTTGATTTAAAAAAAAAGTCTTTGAAGTTTTTATTTTTTGTAACAAAATTCTAAGGATAGTACCCGTACATGCTACGTTTGTGTTGATACGACTTTTAAGAGTAGAAAATAAAGTGTATATATATATCTTAACTGTTATAAAATGAGGTGAAAATATGAGAGATGGAGAGAGAATTAATCACTGTGTTCTCCTTGTATTTCATATAATGGAGGCATAAATATACATATATATATACAGTACAATTGATAGGGTTTGCTTGGAGAATAATAAACCCTAAAATCTAGAAAGTTATGGAATAATACAAGGGTATAATGGGCATCCACAAATATATATTTCATAACACTCCCCCTTGGATGTCCATTATCTAAGAATGTGTCTCGTTAAAACCTTATTAGGAAAAACTCTGTGGGATAAAAACCTAATGAAGGAAAAAGAGTACAACATTCTTTGTAATACGCTTGAGATGCTGCCTCGTTAAAAACCTTACCAGGAAAACCCGATGTGGGACAAAACTATGGTTAAGGGAAAAATAGTGCAGCGCGTATTTGCTCCCCCTGATTAATGCATAACGTATTAACGTGAAATATTCCAGTGCAATAAAGCCCATGCGATATGGTTGGGTAACTTCTTCCATGTAGCAGAATACCATTTCTTGACGATTGATCCTTTCAAATTGAACTTGAATCTTCAAATCTTCAAATAGACTTATTGAGCCGTCTTCATTTCTTCATACTTGTGGAAATAATACAAGTGTTTACCACTATTTCATTCGATAGTTTTGTTTCGAATTATCATAACAATTAGATGTATGCCTTCTTCAAGAGGTCATATATACTACAAAATGATGATCAATAATTGATCACATTATCCAAACATAATTTCATGGCAACACTTGATATATATATATATATATATATATATATATATATATATATATATATATATATATATATATATATATATATATATATATATATATATATATATATATATATATATATATATATATATATATATATATCATTTTTCCAGTATCATATGAATTAAGGGGGGAGCCGATTCAATCATGCATGTGTTGATTCGGTTGCTGTTGCCCCTCGTTACGGGCCAGAAATTGAACGGATTCACTTCGATGTGCTAATGAGTTCGGTGATACAATCAAGGGTGGAATTGAATGATGAAATTTTTGGTAGACGCTTAGATAATTTTGGTTATAATCAACGCTTTTTCGTTGAATTTGATGCTCAGAATAATCCAAGGGCAGTGGAGAGTAGGGAACCAGACTCGTCGGTGTATGACCCGATGGACTTTCAAGGTGAAGAAGAGGAAGATGCTTTTCCAAACGGGCAGATTTCGGAGGACCCCTTGAACCAATGGGCAGGGGAGTTCGAGATCGACGTTGCTGAAGACAACTGAATAGAGGAAAATAGTATGGAAGCTCAGCCAGATCTATCTTCTCATTTTCGCCCACAAATTGAAAAATTGGAGCTTGTTATTGTGGAAAACAAGGATACTGATACTCAAGCTCCATCTAAGACAATGTCTGATAGCGCTATCCTCTTCACAAGATGGGGAGAGAGGGATAGAAGAGGAAGGAGGATGAGAAACAGGCGATTTACTAAAGGAAAAGACAAGAGGAGATTCCAGCAGGGGAATTGTTCTCTCAAAAGAAAAGCTATCTCATATATTGACCTCGTCTCTATCTAATTTATAGAGAAGACCGAAGATGATGCTGACTCTCACATGATCAGAAAAAACAAAAAAGGGAATGGTCTAATTGATGATGGATCAGCTGCTGGACCATCCACTTTTAAGTCTGGGCTTGGGCCAGGTCCTTCTCTCTCCTTTGATGCTTGCCTTACTGAAAATTTTACCCTACACCCTAGTGTAGGGTGTGTTCCCTACACCCCCCCTATGCTACGTCGTTTTGTAGCTGGTATTGAGTTCTCATGTGCAGCTTCTTTCCTTTTGCGATTCTTTCCTTTTTTTTTTTTTTTTTTTTCCTTTTTTTCTTTTTTTCTTTTCTTCCTCTTTTTTCCTTTTTCCTTTGATTCTTATTATTCAATTTATGTATATATATGATTTTAAACCCTATTTTTTCTCTCTCTTCAATTGATCAACCAACCTCCATTTTTGATCTACATTTTTCTCTCGCTAATTCATCTTCTTCATTTGATTTTTTGAACGAATTCGTTAATTGTTACCGATCATCAATGGCGAATTCTGCATCTGGAGATTGCGTTGATTTTGATCGCGATTGCGAGCGTGTGTTTCCTTCTGGACTTCGTTTCGTTGATTCGTTTGTGCAACAATGTGAGTAATTGTGATCATAATTTTTCAATTTTTAATTATCCCTAATTTGTTCTGTTATAATGCTCTGTTAATTTGAACTTAATTGATGTATTATTATTCACTTTCGATTTTTGAATTTACTACTTTGATTACATTATGATGAACGTTTTTGGATTGTTGTACTTTGTATGAACATTTTGTTGCTTCATTTGTTGTTTCATTTGTTGTTTTCTCTGTGTTTTAGAATTGTGTGTTTTTGTCGTATATTTTGTAGATTATACTTTCAATTAATCGTTTATGTTTTCTTATTCATTGTTACTAATGTGTTTATGTTCAGTCTTAAAGTCATTTTTGATCATTTATTTTTACATTTTTATATCGATATTATGTGTAGTGGTAAATAATGAAAATATTGTTCAAAATATTATGTGCTGAAATTCTTTTTGCAATTGATCATGTGCTGTTTTGATATTGAACATTTTACTTATTTGTTATTGTTCATTCATGAAACTCTTTATGATCATTTATAATTGTATATTGTGCAGTGGAAAAAAATGATGATATTATGTATTTAGAAGCAGAACAGTCTGAATTAAAGGATAAAGAATTTAAATCTGAAGATGAAGCTTTCGAAGCGTATAATGAATATGCTTTTAGGAAAGGTTTTGGAATTCGAATTGGGAAGAGTAAGAGAAGAAGAGATGATTCTTTTTTGATGAAAAGATTTGTTTGTTGTAATGAGGGATTCAAAGATAATAAGTGTAAGAATAAAAGGATTTATGAGAAGTTGGATCATCGAACTGGTTGTTTAGCTTTTGTGCAGTTTCATATTGATCATTTAGGGGTCTATACATGTACAAGACATGAAATGGTTCATAATCATGCTATGATTCCTCCTGAAAAAAGGCATTTGATAAGGTCTCAAAGAGATGTGAATAAAGAGCAGCTTCTTTTCATTTCAACAATGAAATTGAGTGGAGTCAAAGTTACTGATTCTTTGAGGGTTCTAAAGAAGGAGGTTGGGGGATCTCCTAATCTTTGTTTTACTGCTTCTGATGCTTATAATGCATTGTCATCTGAAAAAGCTGCCCAAATTGAAGGATGTGATGGTAACCAATTGATTAAATATTTTGCCAAGAGACATGTGGATGAGACAGATTTTTATTATGATTTTGAACAAGATGATAGTGGTGCTTTAGTTAGTTTTTTTTTGGCGTGATGGTAGGATGATGAGAGATTATCATTACTTTGGAGATTTGTTGGTTTTTGATACAACTTATAGAACTAATAAATATGGAATGATATGTGCTCCATTTGTTGGGATGAACCATCATGGTAACAATGTCATGTTTGGTATGGGTTTTATTCTTAATGAGCGCACCGAGTCTTTTGATTGGTTGTTTGATACATTTTTGCACTCAATGGGGAGGAAAAGTCCCATTACAATTATGACTGATCAAGCACAAGCGATTGCAGCGGGTATAAGAAACATTTTTCCTTCAACTGTTCATCATCGTTTATGTGTATGGCATCTTGAACAAAATTCTAAGAAACACATTGGAGCATTGAGAGCTTTGGAAGGCTTTACAGATTTGTTTGGATATCTTTTGAAGTATTGTGAAACTCCTGCTGAATTTGAATATTTCTGGAAAAGGTAAATTATTGTTTTTTATATTTATTTTTTATTTTTATTATGTGATATATTTGATTATTATGTGATATATATATGAACATTTAGTGTTTTACATATGATCATACAATTTACTTTGTTATGTATGTTATCATAATATTATTAGTGTCCATATTGTTTATGATCATTATTCTTTACACAAATGTACATATTTTAATTTATATTTTGTTCATTTTTAAATTAATATATGATCATTTCTGTTATACAGGATGTGTGATAAATACAAATGTGAAAATGATGATTGGTTATGTGATTTGTATAAAATAAAGGAAATGTGGTGTCCTGCTTATTCTAAGAAGTATTGGTCTGGTGGTATATTGTCTTCTCAACGTAGTGAAACTACTAATAAGTCAGTTTCACAACGTCTTAATAAGACTCAAGGTTTATGTGATTTTTATCATGTTTTTCTTGATGTCATTTCTGAGTGGAGAAGTAAGGAAGGTGCAAGAGATTACAATACTCTGAGGGGTAATAGGCACCTAGCTTTTGCTAATATTGGTATATTAGTTCATGCAAGATCATTGTACACTATTCAAGCTTATGTTCTTTTTGAAGAGGAGTTCATTAGGGGGACAGCTTATGATCATGTTGATAATGGTTTGCGTTTTCCAGAATATTCATATCTTCTTTGGAGGCCTGGGAAGGATATAATTAAGCATGAAGTTGTTTTTAATAAGGAAACACATGCAATTTGTTGCACATGCATGTACTTTAGTGAGACTGGTTTACTTTGTTCTCATTCTCTTCGAGTATATCATTTGCATTGTGTGCGTAATATTCCACAAGAGTATATAATGAAACGATGGACAAAGGCTGCCATGTGTAGTCATGGTATTGAAGAACCTACTTTGAGGACAAATGTTGTGGCTACTAGTGTTTGGAGGTCACAAACAATCAGAAAGTTTGTTAAGTTGATAACAAGTTGTCAGAATTCTTTGAATGCAAGGGCAGAGGTTGAGTGTTATTTCAATCTGTTAAAAGAAAAGGTTGAGAGTGTATCAGGTGTAATTGACTTTAGTGAACCTGTTAAAGAGGTTGAAATTGTTGATCTTGAGATCAAGAATCCTCCAAAAGCTAGGCCTAAAGGTGAGAGGAATGTAAGGCCTAAGAGTACCTTGGAGAAGCAGTGTAACAAGGCAAAGGGTAATTTCAAGAGGAAAAAGTCTCTGTACACTCCTTACAAAAGGGGTATAGGGCAAGCAGTTGTACAGGTATATGATCATTTCATATTTTCAAATTGATCATTTCAGTTTTCGTAAATGATCATTTATGTTTTTTTTTTAAATAGGAACTTGATGAGAACGGTTGTGCTGTTACTTATGCTAATTCTATTAGTGATCCCATTGAATTGATTGTTTTGAGCAATAAACGGGCTCAGGTAAATTCAAATGTGCCAAAAAAAACATTTTATTTATATTTTATTAATATTGATTTTTATAATTTAAAAATATAGGTCGGCTTAAAATCAGCTGTTGTAGAAGAAATTCCTTCTAGTTCTAAGGAATCAAATCATAGTATTTCCAATGATTTTGATCAGGTATATGAACATTTATGATCTATATTATAATTTTTTTTTATTTAATTTTTTATTTTTTATATTTTTTTTTGGTTTTTTTGTAGGCTACTGGTGAAAGCTCTCTTTCATCTATCATATCTATTGATGTTGATATTTCATCTATTGCTAAGGTTTTTTTTTTTCCATATTTGTTTGTATAAGTGTTTGTAACTGATCATATACTGGTTTATTAATGATCAATTTAATTTTTTTAAAGGCGAAGGATTTAAATCTTGAAGGTGTTTCTGCTGTTCAACCTTGTTCTAATTTTGGTGCAAATGAAGGTGCTTCTGGTGTTAAAACTTACTCTCAAATTAATCCAAGAGTTCCAATTCATATTAGTGCGTCAACAAAATCTCCTGTTGTTATTCAACCTACTGTTCCCAGGAATGTTCAAAATCAAACTCAGAATTGTTCAAACACCAATCCAGAAATGATCATATCCAACTCCAGGAATGTTCAATCAACAAATGTTCAAGTTATTTCTCCTACGGTTCAAATAAATGATCAAGGATTTCCTGTTCAGAATGTTCAAGTTACTCCTCCCACAGTTCAAAGAAATGATCAAGGTGCTCGTGTTCCAATTCTTCAATCAAGAAATGTTCAATTAGGTTCTAAAAAGATTTCTTCTAAATATGATAGGTTGTTAGCCTTTTTTGATACAAGTGTAGCTAAACGTTTGGCTAATAAAGATAAATAATTAGTATTCCAGAACTTTATAAACATTAGACTTTTTTGTAATGTTGATTTAATTACTATTTTGTAATTTTGAATTTTCGATCTATTATATAAAAAACTTTCATTCAAAGATTAAAATGAAATATCAATTACAATAATATTAAAATAAAATCCATAAGTCTACTTCTAAAAAAAAAAAATAGTCATATATAAGAAATGAACATATACATAGTTGTAAATGAACATTTGAAACTACAAAGTTGCAAATTTTCTAGCTTTCCTTCTATTTGCTCTTGATTCAGTGTTTTCTTCAAATAACATCAGTTCTGCTGTGTATTGGAGCCTTAGATTTCTAATTTGTTCCACCTGTTGAACAAAATGAATTGTCAAATTTTAATTAAACAATCTTTACTGTTTCATAAATGAATATTATATCTTAAATAATTGATCATTTATAACTCTTACATTGTTTGGTTTTAAATCACAAATCCAGCTCTCATTAGGATCAGCAGTGAAGGTTTCCATATGCTTCATAATGTAAACTCCACAGTTTGTATAGTCATTGTTGCTACGCCATTTCATCTTTTCCAAAACAACTGTGTAGTCTTCAATTCTTTTTGCATCTTGATATCCAAGGTGTTTCATGTACTCTGCCAATCCTTTTAACTGATAGAAAAAAGAGTAAAAATTGTTTAGAAGTTTGTATTGTGATGAAGACATGAACAATTAATAAAATATAATTGATCATGTAGTCAACTATAAATGAACATATTATCTCACCATCATTTTTGGTTGTTCTTCATATTTTGCTTGGACTGATACCTTTTTTGGTAGTTTTCTATTGTCAATTATATGAATTTTGTCTTCTATATGATTGACGCACAACAGAAAAAAATGTTGAGAAGTTGATACTGGGAAGAAGACCTGAACAAATTATATAATGTTATTGGACAATATATTGAAGGTAATTGAACATTTGTATTAAACAAGAATTAATACCTGTTTATATCCAACAATGCTGTCAATTTTATTCAACTTCAGTTCATTGTCAATTCTTTCTATGAAGGCATTAATTCTTGTCTTCATTGATGATCCTTCTTGACAAACTTTATTTGTGCACATAATGTGCTGTTGAAATACAAACAAACATATAGAAGTTAAATGAATTTTTAGCAATTATTTATCATAGGAAAATAGAATCAATAATATAAAAAAAGAAGAAAGACTAACATGAAGCACTGTTGAGAAATAAATCTTGTTTCTCGGCTTTTTATGATTAAGAAACCTTGCCCATCCATCTATGACACAATTTGTCACTTCAACATCATCTCCAAGAGTTTTCATTTCATTTCTATTGATGAGATTCAAGCCATCATAGTATAAGAGTGCACTGCATTATGAACATTTAATAATATGAATGTGAACATATTTTTATAAAAGATATTAAACCTTAAGTTTAATTAGTGTAAGTAATTACCTTTCATCTTTTCCACCAAGAGCAAAGTCTACTGCAATTTGGTTCATGGCTTTCTCATCTTTAAACAGATCCTTGTACTTGACCAAGTAAGGAGATCGGAAAGCAGGAGGAAGTGTTTTCTTTTCGCGTTTTGGTCTTGTTGTTCAATATAAAATATTGTTAAATTAAGAAAATTATGAGGAACATAAATGAACATTTGAGTGTATATAAATAAATTTGAAATTATACCTTTCAACCTTTTCCTTTTCAGTTTTTTTCTTCTTTTCTGCAATTGACTTTTTCTTATCATCATTCCTGGTCATATTACATAACACAAATGTACATTTAGGTATATGAAAATGTTCATTATTATTTTTGAACATTTACTTAATATAAATAATGTACCTTTTTGTGACTTTTGAGGATGAAGCAACAATCTTCTTGTTTTCACTGAAAAGTGAAACAATGTCAGTACATATTAATAAAATAAAAGCTTCTTATGTAACACCCTGAATCATTTTCAATTCATAAAATGAAAGATATTGATTTAACATAAACCTATTGATTTAACATAAACCACACATTCATATTACATATTCAACAAAATAATGTTCACACATACAATAGTTTGAGAAACACCAGTTTCAAGTTACAACACGATAGTAACATAAGTTAAATTGTTCCATCTAGATATTTTATCCTACACCATTACATAACCCTAATAGTAAGACATGTCTTCAGGATTTTACCCCTCCACTTTTTCATCATTTTTTGTTTTTTCAAAAACATCTTCCTTGTTTTGTTTTCCACCTCCAACTGTGTTTTTTGGATCATCACTTTTTTCACCACCATCTGACCTAGGGTCAGCATCAACCACTGAACCAGATCCTGCATCTAAGAAAAAATTTAATTAGATATAATATAATTTCTTTGTAAATGAACATTTGAGTATTTATAATTGAACATTATACCTGTTCTAGGCAATCCTTCATTATCTGACCTAGTGTCAGCATCAAGTTTTGAACCAGTTGCTGCGTCTAACAAAATAATACAATTAATAATGAATATTTCTTGTTTGTAAATGAACATTTTACACTTTTTAATTGAACATTATACCAGTTCTAGAAAATTCTTCAATTCTTTGTTCTGAAGCTGCTGAAGTTTTACCCACATCCTTTTCTCCAGCTGTATTATAAATCATCATTTTGGAGATACACTAAGTTAATAGTATTTACACATAATAATTAGAAATGAACATTTCTACTTAAGTTTATGTACATTATTATTAAATATATGAACATATTACCATTTGTTGAAATTATTGGTTGTTCAATTATATCACCAAGTGTTGAAAAGGTGGGCCCTGTTTCTGTTTAGGACAATTTAGACCACAAATTTAGAATTTTTCATATAAAAATTAGGATATATAGTCTCTTTTAGTTAGAATTTACCAATGGCTGGAGAAGGTGGAGTCAACCCCAAGCTGAAAGCTTTTCTGATGTCATATTCTTGTTCTTTTTCCTTTCCCTTTTTGGTTAATTTCTTCCCAGTCATTTGCTTCTCAGTTGTTTGCTTTTCAGACCCTTGCATCAGATTCTTCTCAGCTTGTGCAAGTGCATTTAGGAAATCCTCACTGCCAAAGAATTCTTCATCTTGGCTTAGAATTGATGGTTCCCTAGCTACCACCTTTCCTAAAACTTCATCAACTTTTTTTCACCAAGTCATTTCCAGGGAAGATATCCTTTGCCTTCACCAATTTTGAAGAAAGCTTTGACAGGTTTGAACAAGTTGTTTTTACCAGGGAAACAAAATCATCCATAAAAACCTATATGAATGAATATTAAAAATTATGCAGTTGAACATTTCAGATTATACAAATGAACATTTATGTTAACAAAAGTGATCATTTTATAACCTTAGGACTTTCTTCAACTTCTGCAGCAATCCTTGGTAGAATTTTCCCTCTCCCAAATCCCAATTCTAATTCAATCTTCAACCTCTCAAGAACCATGTCTCTATTCCATGCAGATATGATAGGAATTGTTCTTGGAGGCCTTTTGTCTAACCTCTGAACTCTATCAAAATAGAACAACTACAAGAAAAAAGAAAACATGGAACAGAACATAAACAATAAAAAAAAGTGCATTTATTTAAATTTAAATGAACATCTTGTATCTAAGAATATACCATCAGAAATTGAAGAGGGCCTTTGTAGAACCCCTTGCCTTGCTGCTTTCTCCAATCAACATGACATTTGATAAGTGAGTCATATACAAACTGACACCAGTTCAAATTTTTTATGTTTTTCTTTGTCCATCATAGAATAAAGAAATTTGAAATGGCATTGATTGTTTGATACACATTTCATCAAGCAGTTCACAGCCACTGCTAAAAAGTTAGTAATGAAATGTTCACTTGGTGGTCTGTTGTTGGTGAATTTATCATTTATGTATCCATTCACAATCTGCAAACAAAATGAACAAAACATTTATACTTTTGATCATTTAATGTATTTAAAATGAACATTTAAAACTGATCATACCTGACTCACTGATGGAGTTTTTCCTGACCATGATTTTCTCCATTTCTTCAGAAATTCTGCATACTCCTCACTAATTTTATCAGACTTTGGCTCAACAATTGGAATTTCTCCTGTAGGCAAGCCATAAACTACCCTAACATCCTCTACCTCAATTTCTATTTTTTCATTCTTTGGTAGTTCAAAATACTGGCTATTTTCTTCAAAACTTCCCAATAACCAGTTACAGAACTTTTGATCAAGTTGAGGTAAACTAATGTCAAGAAGTGATCCTAACCCTATATCAATAATTTGTTGTCTTTTGGGTAGGTGTCATCTTTTTTATCCATGCAATGAACTTCACATGTCCTCCTCTCTTTGAAGATTTCTCTTCCTCAAATTCATCTTCCTGAATTTCCTCAACTTCATCAGTTTCTATTGCTTGAACCATTTCAGTTTTCATTTTCTTTTTTCTCCTACCTTCAATCTTTCCTTCATCATACAGTACCATCTTTTGCTCCTCCTTTTCAACCTTTGCCTTCACTGAATTCCCTTTCTTTGCCTGTTTCTTCCTTGGCTTTACTTCTTCCTCTTCCTCCTCTTCCTCCACCTCATAATCATCCTCACTGACAGGCTCTTCTTCTGCTCTATAAACTGACTCTTCACTATCATCATCACTGTCAGGATCTTGAGAGGGTTCATCTGATGGTACTTCTTGTATTTTTTTTCTCTTTCCAGCATTTCTCTTGGCAGGACTGACATCTGAAAATTAAATATATAATTTTGTTTAAGTATTGAAAATGTACAGTAAGCAAATGATAAAATGAACAAAATTGTTTTTCTCAAATGATCATTCTATATATAGAAATTGAACATTTATAATATATCATTATATACCTGCTTTTCTTTTGCCAGCAACCTTTAGAAGTTTTTCTTCACTTCTAGAGTTTTCTTTTTCCCACCTATATATTGAAATTGAACATTAATGATATACCATCATAAATGATCATTCTATACATTAAGATTGAACATTTACCCTTTTTGCCTTGGTCTGGAGGATATTCAGCAGGAGCACCTGCCATTTTTTTTTATTGGAGTAGGTGCTGGAGGTGGTGCATCAGCTTCCTTTTGAATAGGAAAATTCCTTGTAGACATTCTTCTCTTCTGTCCTATTTTTGCGGTTTCTTTAGCAGGCTCAACATCCTTCTTCAGGCTTCCCTTTTTAGATTCATCTAACAGAACATCTATTGTTTTTTAAAAAAATTTATGTTAGTATATTTGAAAGTGTAATATTTATTGTGTAACAGAAAAGTATTATGATTACCTTGGCTCCTTGTAATTCTACCACTTGGCACAACAACAAGGCTTTTGTTTTTGTTTTTCCTTGCAACCATTTTGTATCTTGTTTTCATTTTGGTTGACTGATCACTTTTTTGTGATGATGGAGCTGTCTCCTCACTAAGTTTTGTGGAAACTTTATCATCATCTTGATCTAGAAGATAAGTTTCATCCTCAATTTGAACAAAATCAGGTGCAATTTGTGCTGCATATGAAATGATCAAATATAAAAGATTAAATAAACATTATTAAATTGGATGACAAAAGTTTACTAT